CAAGTTAAACAAGTAATAATTTTACGCGTTTATAGTGTAATTTATCAGCACAGTTGGTTAACTCAGTCAATTTAGTTGTTAATTATGTCTTAAATAGTTTTGGTGGGGTAATGCGGGCAGAACAAGTTGCAACAAGCCACTGCACTGCAACTTTTTCTATATATCATCCCTAAAATCGTCAGGCTCACCAAAAGGCAATTCTAAAACTTTTGATTCATCAATTATAATTACCTCTCTCCCCTCTTAGCCTTTTCAATGGCTTCCATTCCTCACTTCTTTCCTGATTATTATTTCTAGCGGTTTTCGCAGTTTTCCTACCGGTTATCGCTGCAGATCATCAAAACTATGGTGATCATGCATCGGCTTCTAGCGGTACAATCTCTAGTGGTGCAATTTCAAGTTGTGCCGCTTCTAGTGGTGGTGCTATATGGGGAGATGATCAGACTTTTCCTATTTCTTTTGATAATGTTTTGCCACGGAATCTGACGTCGCTTCGCCGCTCAACGAGTTGTTCCCTCATGAACAATTCGGACTTCAGGACACATCGGCTGTGCCTACATTGGGACTATAACATGAGTGTGTGTGGCATTTCTGGGATTCAAAACTTTGGAACCAGAATTCAATTCCGGATGTGTGGTGAGGTTGGAGATGAATGTTGTGGTTATATGCAAGATTTCAAGCCACCGTATCCCGCCGCCGCAGAAAATTGGGTACTAAACTCTTTGTCATCATTTATAAGTTTTAAGTCAGAGTGATAACTTGCAGTATTAAAATATAAATATATACATTTGGATTCTTGAATTTTTTACAGGGAATCAGAGTACGCGAATGCCAGTAATGGAGGAAGCCAATTTAAGGTTGGCCGGTATTCTGTAGAAGAAAGAAAAGACAGAATTCTGAGATACTTGAAGAAGAAAAATCAAAGGAACTTTAACAAGACCATCAAGGTCTTTCTCTTTCAATTCTTTTTTGTATAAAATTAATTAAACCCACATGCAACATGCAGTTTTTTATTAATTAATAGAAACACTCATCATCTATTATACAGTATGCATGCCGCAAAACCCTAGCAGACCGGAGGGTTCGAGTCCGTGGGAGATTGCAAGGAACAGTGAACTATGTGAAGAAGAGAATATCAAGAATAATGAAAATAATTCTCATAAAGAGAAAGATTTTTCTGTAATTCTGATGCAATCCATGAGAGTTTTATTTTATCAAATACATATGGTTAATTAAATACATATATAGTTCTGATATTATTTTCAATTTCTTCAGATCAAACAAGATGACGAGTCGTGGCTGCAAGGGCTATGGCGAGTCTGATGTATTTACCATACATTGCTGGAAATTAATCATCAATTATTTTATTAATGAAGAGCTAGCTCGCGTGAGCAAAGAGAAACAGATTCATGCCTGCCTACTTTAATTTTAATGTCTTAGAAATAGTCTCTAACCAAGCTAATTAGTTTTCATAACAAAAATTGCTTTAGATCGAGTTGGGTTTTCTTTTCCGTTGCAAGGTACCAACTTCTATTAATTAGTTGCTAGAAGTTGAAAAAGAATGAGTTCTCCATCTCTTCTTGTAAGCTAACTTTGATTCAATAAAATGTTGTACATTTTTTAATGGCTAGATTGTTACGTGTATTTTAACTATTTTAGAACTATCACAGAGTATGAGTTTCTGTGACTATTCTATTACTAGTCTTGAATGTGAAAAAAAAAAAAAAATTCTTTATCACAAAGACGAGCAATGGGAGGGAGGCATGACAAGGTGATGTTGATGACGCTGTAGAAGAAAAGAAGAACATATCAATCTAAAAATCGAAGAAATGAAAGAATCTCAGGTTTTGGTTGGCCAGAGATAACAAAAGAAGTGTACTATAAAGAACAAGATACTTGTAGTAGGGAAGGGATGCCCCAAATAAAGAAAAAAAGAGAGGGTTCTGTAGTGATCTTATGCTAATATTATGATCAGCTCAGATTCACTTCCAGGCAACATGCACCTACATGGGTTTGTTGGAGACCTTTGCTTGAATTGAAATTTTATGATCTGAGATGGTTGAGCCACTTGCTTTTCTAGATAAATAAGGATCATATCATGCATCCAGGGAATTGTGTCAGGCCTTTTGACGATTCTGATTTAATCAAACCAAAAAGTAAGCCATCGGAAATTATTTAAAAGAAAAATGCCCAACAGTAAATTTAGACATAATTAATATTTAATATGGGTATGAGTCATCATTGTTTTAAGTTTGAATTACCTCGATTAAGGTGCAAACTAGACTGAACACTTCTGATCACCAAAAAAAACAGACCAATAAGTTCAACCTAAGCGTGTTAGTGAGGTTGAACACATTCAACTTTTGCATTTTCATCCAAGTCGAGTCCAAGCCAGGAGATATTCTGATGGAGGAAAAGGATTTTTCCTTGTCGCCTAAAAAGCTAAAAGTTTTAGATAATAATCTAATATTAATACTCAACAAATTTTATTATTGAAAAAAATTGTGTTCCCAAAGTTAAAAAGGGAATTTGTTTTTCCCAAGTAGGCTAAAAAGGTGTTCAACTTGGCTGAGAAGCCACCGAAGAAACAGCAGTTGATGATTCTTTTTTGTGCCAAAGCTAAGCTAGCCAGTTTTGATAGAATCTCTTTTTCCTAATCCAGTTTAACCATAATCTAATCAACAAACAGCTTCCCTAACCAATTAATCAAAGCTTTTCGAACCGGGCTTTGTCATTCATTTCTAAAGATTGTAGGCTTCAATTCTGGAATTCCAATTAAAGAAGTGAGCTCTGGATTATATATATCACTTCAAATTAACCCACCAAGTTTATGGTAAGTTGCATGAGAATTTTGATGGGATTGAGAAAATTAAAGAAGGAAATCCTCAGAGGCACCTGATACTGTGTATAATATCTTTCATTTTCTCTATCTATTTCTTCTACTTTTTCAGGGGAATACCCCAGCAAAGGTAACATTTCAGCCTCAAGACTCCTCAGGAATCATCAATTTATGTTCTCCAAACCGATATCCTTTCATCTTTCTATTAGTCTAAGAAAAAAAAAATTACGAATAATATTACACGTCCCAAGTAATAATTACGCGGAAAAAAAAAAAAAATATATATATATATATATATAAAGGCAGGCATGCATACAGGAATAACAAGATAAAGAAAAGATTAAAACAAAATGTATATTTACCTTTACTAAGAAATCTTGAACCAGATACCTTTCAAACGATGAGGGTTATGGCTTTTTAAAAGATGGTTGACAACAAATAGAACATGCGATAACTTTATTATATATTTAATATATATTAACATTTTCAGGCTTTAGCAAAAGGTATCAAGATTATTAGAGAAAAAATTCTGCAGGCAATTGGGTCTTTTTGACTGAGTAATCTGATTAATATTTTAGATGATGATTATATATATCTGCTGATGCTCATTTCCTTTAAAAAGTAAATACATAATTCAGATAGATATTTGAGATATGCAACAGTATCAACATCATCCATCCGTGGGTAACTTAGATGGTTATGGTGAATTGGGGATAATGTGGATAGCATACAATCTCAGATTCAATTCTCCATCTAAGCATCCCTAACTTAAGTAGGAGGTCATGACGATGAATGTCCTAAATATTATGTGACTATCAATGAATTATACACTTTTTTTTTTTTAGTAAAATTCATAAAATAGTAAACAACTTTTTCCCACCCAAATAATGGCTTAATGATACTTTTCCACCATATATTTTTAAAATACCACTTTACTACCCAAATTTATATTCCGTTTCCGATTCCAGCATCGTTGCGACCCCACATGACCACCATTATTTTTCCTGATCATCACTCATCAAAACCTCTCAAACCTTACTCCTACCGACTCCACCAATCGTCAGCAATCGAGCGATTAGGGTTTGTACAACCGCCGCTCGATCCCAAGTCAAATTTCGATCAATCCTAATCACCAAAATCCAACCTTCTATCACCAAAAGGCTCATCGGTCTAGGACTGAGATTGTTCTTTGTTTATCGCTAGAATATAAATTTAAGTAATAAAGTGATATTTTAAAAGTTTATGGGATAAAAATGTCCTTAAACCATTATTTGAGTGAGAAGAAGTCATTAACTCAATTCATAAAGTGTATACACGTATATACCTTAAAGATGTTGAGTTTGAGTACGTTTATTTTTGCAAGTGAAATTCAAAACATGTAAATTTGCAACATTCAAATATCTTTTATAATGAAACCGACCTCTCTGATTGAGATGTAACATCTAAACGAATCATATTTTATGAGATCAAACGGCTGCAGTTATGGTATGCAGTAACAATGAACAGAAATTAACTTTTACATTGAGGAATCGTTTTATCTAAACCCATAAGAGCATTTGTTCCTACAGGCAGGTCAAATTACTGTAGTGAAGAAGATATAGATATACTTGAATACTTGATCATCATGTTCACGCATGGCAAGATAATTAAAGAGGGGTAAATTGATAAAAAAAAAAAAACCTATTGATTGAGGGATATATGGTGTACTTGCAAAATCGAACAAGGCCATGTGTTAGATTCTTTGGCTATAAGTAGGTTTGGATCTTTTTGTAGTACTACTTGTGATGATCAGCTTTTTAACAGTAGTTAATCACATGATCTCTTCAGCTTTTTCGTAAAAAAATATTTCAATTAAGGATAATAATCTACTAAATATAAAAACTCTAAGTTAAACAGTTGTAATCAGTTATAGTTTGTAACCATGTGATGCTGTAAGTGATTTGGTTGGCAAGTTAAACAAGTAATAATTTTTACGCGTTTATAGTGTAATTTATCAGCACAGTTAGGTTAATGACAGTCAATTTAGTTGTTAATTATGTCTTAAATAGTTTTGGTGGGGTAATGCGGGCAGAACAAGTTGCAACAAGCCACTGCACTGCAACTTTTTCTATATATATTCATCCCTAAAATCGTCAGGCTCACCACAAAGGCAATTCTAAAACTGACCCACAACTTCTTCTGATTCATCAATTATAATTACCTCTCTCCCCTCTTTAGCCTTTTCAATGGCTTCCATTCCTCACTTCTTTCATGACTATTCATTTTCTAGCGGTTTTTCGCAGTTTTCCTACCCGGTTATCGCTGGAGATCATCAAAACTATGGTGATCATGCATCGGCTTCTAGCGGTACAATCTCTAGTGGTGCAATTTCAAGTTGTGCAGCTTCTAGTGGTGGTGCTATATGGGGAGATGATCAGACTTTTCCTATTTCTTTTGATAATGTTTTGCCACCGGAATCTGACGTCGCTTCGCCTGCTCCAACGATGTTGTTCTCTCATGAACAATTCGGACTTCAGGACTCATCGGCTGTGCCTACATTGCCGGACTATAACATGAGTGTGTGTGGCATTTCTGGGATTCAAAACTTTGGAACCAGAATTCAACTTCCGGATGTGTGTGAGTTTGGAGATGAATGTTGTGGTTATATGCAAGATTTCAAGCCACCGTATCCCGCCGCCGCAGAAAATTGGGTACTAAACTCTTTATGTCATCATTTAATAAGCTTTTAAGTCAGAGTGATAACTTGCAGTATTAAAATATAAATATTAATACATTTGGATTCTTGAATTTTTTACAGGGAATCCAGAGTACGCGAATGCCAGTAATGGAGGAAGCCAATATTAAGGTTGGCCGGTATTCTGTAGAAGAAAGAAAAGACAGAATTCTGAGATACTTGAAGAAGAAAAATCAAAGGAACTTTAACAAGACCATCAAGGTCTTTCTTTCTTTCAATTCTCTTTTTGTATAAAATTAATTAAACCCACATGCAACATGCAGTTCTTTTATTAATTAATAGATTAACACTCATCATCTATTATACAGTATGCATGCCGCAAAACCCTAGCAGACCGGAGGGTTCGAGTCCGTGGGAGATTTGCAAGGAACAGTGAACTATGTGAAGAAGAGAATATCAAGAATAATGAAAATAATTCTCATAAAGAGAAAGATTTATTCTGTAATTCTGATGCAATCCATGAGGTATTATTTTATTTTTATCAAATACATATGGTTAATTAAATACATATATAGTTCTGATATTATTTTTCAATTTCTTCAGATCAAACAAGATGACGAGTCGTGGCTGCAAGAGGCTATGGCGAGTCTGATGTATTTACCATACATTGCTGGAAATTAATCAATCAATCAATTAATTTATTATTAATGAAGAGCTAGCTCGAGCGAAGCAAAGAGAAAGAGATTCATGCCTGCCTACTTTAATTTTAATGTCTTAGAAATAGTCTCTAACCAAGCTAATTAGTTTTCATAACAAAAATTGCTTTAGATCGAGTTGGGTTTCTCTTTTCAGTTGCAAGGTAGCTAGTTCTATTAATTAGTTGCTAGAAGTTGAAAAAGAAAGAGTTCTCCATCTCTTGTAAGCTAACTTTGATTCAATAAAATGTTGTACATTTTTTTAATGGCCGGAGTGTCTAGATTAGCTTATATCTATTTTAACTAATCCTAAAACTATCAACCGAGTATGAATTTCTGTAATTATCCTTATTAGTAGTCCTGAATGTGTAAAATTGTTGTCACTACATCCAACAGGTTGTTGATTAATTATATGATCATTTCATCTGAATTAAGGTTCTTAATCTTAATAATATTGGGTAATTTAATGAAAAATAACTTGAATAATTAGATCCCAAATCTAAAAACTGTATTAAATTAATAACATTATCGATTCAATATAGTAATATTACTGTTGTATGATTCCATTTATTATAGCCATCAACCATTTTATGCAACTGATAGTTCAAACATTCCTGCGATAACATTAATTAATTAATTTCTCCCTTTTTGTGGCAAATATAGTATCTACTTGTTTTGAACATACAGAACTATATTATATAAAATAAATACCTTATATATATTTATGAAATTGCAAAGCTAGTGGGGTATGCTTTGCTAGCTACTTCCTATATATAAATATATTTTCAATTTGAGGCCTAGTCAAGATTTCTAGTAAGTCTATTTAAAAGATCTAAATTGATAAATTTACAATAAAATATATATAGAAGTAATAAGTATATAATTGTAATCTAAATATTTAATTTTAAAAGCTATACATACAAAATTATTAATTTTATAATTGTTTTCGACGATTTTTTATATTTTGAAAACGTTGCATAATTATTTCATTGACAATGCCATCAAATATTTTTATACGTAATAAGACAATCAAAGGAAGAAGAAAGTATATGAGAGAAGAGGGGAGGAACCGGGGAAGAGAGAAAACGTGAAAAAAAATATATATATTTTTGAATTCCAAGGTCAATAAAATATATAGCCATTTTCAATAATTTCAGTGGGGTCAAGTGAGTATACTTTGGCTTGTCAACAATTGGTAACTAATAACTTTGAATCTTAATAAATTATTTAGTGTTTAATTAAACACGAAATGAATTAATATGAAGAGGAATATATGGTTGATATAGAAAGTCAATATTTTGAAAGAGAAAGACAAGATATGTCTACTATTACTTTTGATATGGCATAAGTGGGCTAATGAAATTGTACGCGAAGATGCCGAATGTTTTGTTTAATTATTATCTCCTTTGAGAGACTCCATGAAATTTTCATTTCTTTGATTCGAGAAGAAGTACCGTGTCTGTGTGTGAAGATTGATGGAAATCGGGAATATTTGACTGGTCTTCTACTGATTATTTTTCCATCTTTTTGTGCTTGCGGGTCGCTTCATGCTGGAACATATTTCCAATCACTTTTTATAACTTTAAGCTCAAATTGATCCTTTAGTATATATCTGTTAATGGCTATCAAATCTTTTGAGGGTGGTGATCTGCCTACACTTAACTGGTTCTTATCAGTTTGTGTTGTCAACATGTTATCTTTATTAATTGAATATCGATCCATTCAGCCGCAATCTGTCTCTTCATGGGTGCTAATAAGAATTTCATTGTTTGCCATTAAAGAAAGATCATGGGACGGACGGAAAAAGTAATCTTATTCTTTCATCTCTTTTTATCCTAATCCGGATTAGGGTTACGGAGCACTCTACAAGTTTAATGAACTAAGAAAATTATACAAACCCTCTAGATATAGCTAACTATAGTGGTTAAAGAATTTGTCATTCGACTATAAGGGGAGAGATTATCTTTATGGATTTTTAGTCCTCGGTTTCTTTTGTAATATATAGTTTTATGTTTCTTATTTATAAAAAACAAAAAAGCAAATAATCATTAATTCCTATTCTTCAAAATAAAATTTTCAGGACATTTGTAATTGAGAAATGGTATATACCTGCATAATATTATTAAGTTTATATACATTGTAGTTGTTTTGTTGTAGTAGTACTTGTTCTTATTTAATCCTACCACCAACTCTCAGAATAATATATATCATCGTCTTTAGAAAATCTTCAATCATTCCCTTAATTGTGAAGCTTTCCAAGATGCTACTGCAGGCTCTCTTTGTGGCTTAATAATAAGTTGTTGGGTTGTGATTATATATATATATATATACATAGAAGATTAGGAGTTGGGTTAGGATGAGTGGAGGAAAAGGTTCTTTTTGGTCTTAAATATTTGGAATGTGATGCCCTTTGTCAGGGCAGGGCTAACCTTAAATGTTGTTAGGCATCTTGTTTTTGAATAAAGCTTTTTCTATTAGCTTACAGGCTTTACTATCAATCAGAAATTGTGGAATAGCTGTACTTTGTTGGTGCCTTAATTTCGATGTTAATCTTAAATGTTATTAACTATGATAATTGTATTTATAAATAATTAATTAGGTGAATTCATAGAAGTATGAAGCACTCAGTGAGCTAGCTACCTAGTAAATTGCATGAAGGACTGCTGTGGTTTGGAGTATAAAGGGAAAAGTAGTGAAGAACCTTGAAAGTTTTAGCAATTGAAAAGATCGAAGACCGAGCTGGGTCCATGTATTCATGGCTACTTTACATCATTTATACTATATCTCTTCCAAGATCTGCATTTTATTAATAAATTTTTAAACATGATATCTAAACTTAAGTTTTTTTATGATCAGGGGTGTTTAGACCAGCTTGCGTGCACCTCAACTAATCCTTCAAGACTCTGAAGTTAACAATGGAATAAACCCTCTAATGACTACCTGTATTAACAACCGAGGAGAATCAAACTTAAGGTCTCTTGAATAATATATTTAAAAGTCTATATCTCATCACTCGGCCACCTAAGAATGGTTAAATGTTAAAATCTTACGATTTATCATTAGATCAAAAACTATAACTAGTAACAGAAGTATAAACTTATTTTCTTAAACCATCGTCTTTATACTCACTATTCAAGATGAATCAGTTGTCTGACTTTTGCCACGGCAAGATGCTGACCCATCCAACCAACAGTGAGCACTATCTCATTTTGCTCGAGTTTAGAAATTTTGATTAATTTATTTATCATTCATATAAAAAATTTATGCTATATAGTATAGATCCTTAAATATTCAGTCCATGCATGCTTATATCTTCAATATTGGATTATAATATTATACAGCTTAATTGATAATTCTTCTTAAAAACAGTTGCCATTGTAGCAATGAGCTAGTTAACACAATTTGACAAGAGGCTAGACTTGGGCAGCAGCCAGCTAGCTATTTGATAGAAGGAATCCAAAGTCAAAACATGAGAACTAGAAATATAATGAAGCAACAACAGAAGTGATAATTATTGTTAGCTAAAATGAGAAAAGATTTAGGTGGTTTTACACTGACAAAGTTAAGTCAACATGAACATATCAAAGCAATGGGAAAAATAGTGTGCTTCTGCCTGGTTTTGTTCACATTTTTCTTCTAAGAAAGGAGTTGTAAGATAAGGTGAGAAAGCAAATGGATGCCACAAGCAACCATTCTTACTATCGTAAGAAACCACTATCTCGAATTGACTTGAAAAACAACCTCTTCTTCATCAGTATTATGGGGACCCCCTTCATGCACAACTAGCTCTACTTCTTTCATAATTTGTTTAATTAGCATAAGAATTTTTTTTTTCTTTTTTGGGTTTTCTCTTTCATAAATTATTGAAGAAAAGAAACATAGACCTTTTCCATTTCAACGGGAAATTTATTTAAGTATCTGAAAAAAGCTCCCAAAGCTAAGTCTCTATCAGCCACTATGTGGGGTTGAATCATTATCAATGACAAAGTTGTAGCTTGCTAGCTAGTTCAGTTTGAAGCTAATGGAGTTGCAATCTCTCTAGTTCAAATACCCGAAGTACACTTGACAGATCTAGTGGTGATATAATTTTGTAGCCTTGAAATGTAATGAATTACATGTTTTAAAGTGGGGTTGTGTTTCTATTTCTTTTTCCACTTATTATTGTTTGAAACTTCCCCATGGTGAAGTCCCTTTCAAAAGCAAATGAAAAATGATCATAAACATTGCCATAAAGAAGTATTTCATACCTTTTCGCTTGTGGCCGAACGACAAACCCTTTAATTATTAGGATTAATTATATTCAAGAGGTTTTATGTTTGAGTCGTAGAAGAGTTATCTACTATATTTGTGCAATTACTTTAGTTCATTGGACTAGTAAGGTGTTTGGTGACCCTGAAAATTAGACAGACTCCAATGTGGGTTTAAATACCTCGTATACTTAAAATAATAATAATAAATAAATAAATTTTATGTATGATAATATGTTACTCTAGCGTGTCCTTTGAAAGGGAGGAGGGCTAAGAAGCAAGAAGTCTTTATTGGGTGGAAGGCATTAACAGTTGCACAATGGTTTTCAACTGTTCCTCTATGACTTTCTTTCCCACATCAACTTCAAATCACAGGATCATCTTAAAAGATTTGTCGGTTACAAGGGGCTTATCTTACCACCTTATGTGTCCCACAGAACTTGGAAGAGAGCAAAATATTGCCACAAATTTTAGCAAATGAAACTATGACTTTGATAACAAATTCAAAACTTGAGGCCAATATGAGTCTTGATTTTGGTACCCAATAGGAAAGATTAAATGAGAATTTTAGTATGAATTGTGTGTAGGGTTTTGTTTATCTCGGTGGGACTAGATGCTAGCTTAATGGAACCATGGCTATGTTGTAGTCCAATATGGGGTTTATGATATGATATGGTGATCATATCCATGTCGCAATTATGGGTTTTGAACAACAAAAGTCTAGCACTTCATGAGCTGAGAAGAAAGATTTTCATATTGAAGAATACTATTTGATTGAAAAGGCATAAAATCAAGATGCTTTTATCACACTACAATCTTACTAGAAAAAGACAATACAAGAATGGAACCTCTTCAAGGGTTTAATTGAAACATGTCTACAAGTTCACATTCAGTTGAGCCAAGATTAAAAAAGAGATGCTAAAATCTATTTTCTCAAGATGTATTATGAAATGAACTCAGTTTTGATGTTGAAACCCAATAAGCTACAACAAAGCTCAAGTTCTAATTATGTTTTACTCAAGCTGACTTTCGAAAAAAATGAACAGCTAAGCCAGCAACTTTGAATAATTATACAACTACGAAGATTAGCGTTTCAGCTAATATCAGAGAAAGAATATTGCAAGGGCCTCGGTCCCATTTTGAAAATAAAAAAAATAAAATCAGGTACAGATTGAGACCCTAGCGGCGACCCTTCTGTCTCAAAACTTGATCAATGTAAGGTTGGACGGACATTGAACAAACTTACAGAATTTGAATAATGTCTATGATTGGATCTACTGTCCCATTTCAGCTTCCAAGCGCGAGCTCTCCTTTTCAAAAAATTCACATTCTTGAAGAAGTTTAGCCAGCTTTGCAGCGTTCTCTTCTTGAATATGAGATGGAACTTTTTCTTGATAACCAGTTGCGTTAATAACCTTCTCCAATTTCTCCTTTTGTCTGTTAATATAATAGGTAACATTTGTTTGAAAGGTTAGGGACCGAAAAACATAATAGGCAACAAACAACATTTCATGCAAGTCTTAATCCTTCCCCAAAGAGAAAATGTTAAAGACTTACTTTTCTATATCAGCCATCTTATTCTTGATCTTTCCGAGTTCTTGTTTTGCATCGAGAGCCCCTTGAACCTTTAGATAAATTTTAACTTCTTCATTCACAGTATCAAATGCACATCCAACCGGAGCATCATCTCTTCCGCTCAATAGAACCTGTTGAATGTTTCACGTACAAGATAAACTTACATACTATTTGAAAACAAAAACAGAAAACTCACTAAATTATGAAATTATACAGCATTCTGAAACTAAAAATATTAACTCTATCCTTCGACAACTAGAGGCAGATGAAGCGCAATGCAATCCCAACATAAGGTCAGCTTATGAAATTAAAAATTATATCCATAAAAAACAAAAACATAATAAATCAAGAACCTGCAGTAAAGAAAATTCAGCAATATACCTTTAAAGATGATATAGTGGCAAGTGTTAAAATCTCCAATTCATGACTTTTGATAGTCTCTGCCACTTCTTCAGTTTGGCAAAACGCAAAAGCTGGTAGCCTGAAGACATGATCATTTCAGTATAAATATCAGATTCAACTTAATATGGTATCAAAAGTATCAAATACCCTGGTCAACCTAAGGACAGAATCTCCAATGAAAATTATTACTTTACTTCAAATATAAATTACAAAATCTGAGCTGAAGATAAGAAATAACATTAAATGCATGTTCTTTTTTGTTTGATAGAAAGAAAATGTTGTTTGGATGATTTAATTATTAACAACACAATTTCTGGGATAAGCAAATGATTTAAGACTATAAATTAGATACCCATAGCTAATCAATTGCTTGCTAAAATTATGAATAGTAAGAATTATACTTAAGTTGACAGATCAAAAGGTAGAAGTGATACAAAAATTAAAGAAAACTTATATTACTCTTCTGACCATGTGTTCGATAGAAAGGAAAAGACGACGGTGAGAGTGATTTATAAATTTAAAACATTTTCATAATTCATTTTTGCCATTATTTGACAGCATTAAAAATCTAGAACAGGTGGAAGCTGCATCACTAACCTCTACGAAGGGAGACTAAAAATATAATGAGTCCAACAATCCCAAGGTGAATGTTTTTATAGAAAATAGGAACTAGTTAAATAACAATTTGAGTATGCAAAAATACACATTTTATTCAGTGAACTATGATTATAATTTGTTTCAGAAATTAGAAAATGAAATTCAAGTTTCATATTGTGTAGATGAATACAAAAAGAAAGCACTAGTCTGATCTTTACTTGCTTAGAAATGCAAATATTTACCTCTCATTTTTTTGCTTCCCAAGCACCTCTGCCCTGAGCGACCTAAGGCATTTCACAGTGGACTCAACAGTCTTCATTTCTTTTTCGGCCTTTTCATTTGTCCAGTTCTGCAAAGAGTCAAAATGGATAAACCAGTGATCATATAAAAACTGAAATTATAGGTTTACATCAACTAACATCTTATAATCCACTTCTGTTACCTCTTTGTATATCTTTTTTCAGTTTTATACAACTATCCTTCATTAAAATAATATATATCATCAATTGTCAAGCTGATCCTACCAAAAATCTAAATAGTTTCCCTTGAAGTACACAAAGCCTATAGTGGGTCCAAGTCAAAAAGCAGTCAACTCCCACCTCAAAATCCAATTACTGAAATTAAAATTACCTCAACAGGTGATGGGTATTCACACAACATGATTGATTCTTTTCTTGTATAGCCACTTGGTTGTGGAAGGCGCTGCCACAATTCTTCAGTGACAAACGGCATAAATGGATGAAGTAACCGCAAGCCATTTTCTAGGCATACCCAGAGAGCATCTTGTGCAGAACTCCTCTCAGAGATAAATGCATCACCGACAAAGTAAGGCTTTATTGCCTCAATGAAAACATCACAAAACTGATATTGCCACCATGAATACACTGTGCTGGCTGCCGCTGAGAATTCAAATGAATTTAATGATGTTACAGTTTCTGATATGGCCCCATTCAGAATTGAGAGTATCCACTTGCAGCTAAATGGCATGAGTTCTGGATTGATACTCGATGGAGGAACATAATCCTCTCCAAGTTTGCTCATAGCAAATCGAACGGCATTCCACAGTTTGTTACACCATTGACGATATCCCACAACTCTTTGAATATCCAAATTTATTTTATCAGACTGAAATGAGAAGTAAATGAAAAAATATTGATTTAGATACATAAATTCTATTAACCGAAATAGGATAATTCAGGTGGCGCAGTTAAACCATCAGGAAATCAGGCAGAAACATAAACCTGAGCTGTGTATGAAACAAGTGCAAATCGAAGGGCATCTGCGCCACATTCAGCAATACCATTAGGGAAATCTTTCTTCTGTCCGGCTTTTGCAACAACCAGCTCACGAGGATCCAAGTTACCCTCCTCCAACCTCTTCTGAAGACCTTCAAGGGATATACCATTTATAACTTCAAGGGGATCAATAACATTTCCCAAAGACTTTGACATCTTCCGTCCATGAGCATCACGAATCATTGGATGCAGATATACCTACAGGATATGAAATAGGCATTAAAAGGACTGCTTCACATATTTAGACACAGACAATCTCAACTGACTTTCTGAAAGGAATGAATTAAGACTTCCTCAAGTTACATAGTAATTTACCATTTTCTATGTCAAATATCTTAGTGATAATTGTGCCACAAGAAATAAAGAAATCAGACATGCGGATGAGTGTCAAGTACACAGGTAATATATGGACAGTAAAAATCCCTATAACATCAAAACTCCAGTACTGTACCACCTATGTCCACCCAAAGGAAGACAGAAACAAAACTTCAAGTCCTTTATAAGTTATGAGAATATTTTTTCATCAATTCAATGTCATGTGGTATTGCTTAATCACTTAGAATCTCAATAACTAGCACACAGTATACATTCCTAATAAACCCCACAACTGAAACAGTTTAAAAGTAGTGCTACTTAATTTCATTATAAGTCTAGTGCCTCTTCTGTGACACAATGTTAAAACAATACTTTAATTTGCCAGACCACTAAAAATGTTTATTAATCAGTAGACACAGTTGAACTTGATACCTATCCTGATCAGCCAACAAAATTGGGATCTAAACACATTATATGGCTCTATATAAATTAAATTGAAAGACAACCATTCACTTACATATCTGAAAGGTACATCACCGCCCAGTTTAATTCCTAACATCACCATTCGAGCAACCCAGAAAAAGAGAATGTCATGCCCAGTTTCAAGAACAGAAGTAGGATAAAATGTCTTCAGGTCATCTGTATCATCTGGCCACCCCAAAACTGATAATGGAAAGAGACCAGAAGAAAACCAGGTGTCAAGTACATCAGGATCTTGACACAACTCAAACTTCTTCCCGGAAAATTTTTTGCTAGCCTCTACTAGTGCCTCTTTCTCATCTCTAGCAACTATCCAATGGTCATTATATGAACCAAGTTCCTTCAATTCATCATCTTCCAATGCAACATACCATGCAGGAATTCGGTGACCCCACCAAAGTTGCCTCGAGATACACCAGTCACGAATGCCCTCTAGCCATCTGTCAATTTTTAATCTCAAAATCAGTAATATTGATCACGAGGCCACACCAACTCAAAATAAAATCAGGTAATTAATAGAGCAATGAATTCATATCATAAAAATGATGACCACACAATAGATTAACACAATTATCAGATACATTTGCATCAAATTTCCATTAAAATTCAGACAAAAATGACTACATGAGAGCACCTTCTCCATTCAGCCTTATACTGTTCTGGGATGATCTCAAGCTTCCCACTATTGACTGCACCAAGACCCTCTGCTGCCATGCTTTTGCAGTTAACATACCACTGGGGCTTTATCATTGGCTCTATTACGTCATTACTTCTTGAACAACGGCCAAGGCGCATCTCGTTGTTTTTAGCACCTCTATACAACCCCTAATTGTATGAAGAATAATAGTTACAAAATAATTATATCATACTATGCAGATGAACAGAGTACTTCTATAATATAGCAAGAACCTTCTTTTGTAATGCTTCAGTCACAGCAACACGGGCCTCAAAACGTAGCATCCCCTCAAATTCCGAACCACCATTACTATTTATTTTTCCATCATCAGTAAAAACGTTTATAAATTCAAGATTGTGCCGCTTGCCAACCTCAAAATCATTTGGATCATGGGCTGGAGTTATCTGCAAAAACATTAAGGGAAGGGCAATTGGCATACCTTAAAAGAGTAGAAGACCAATTCATTTTTAGCATTCAAAGTTGAACATGTAAATTTTTACCTTAACAGCTCCAGTCCCAAAGTTCGGATCAACAAGAATTCCATCACAGACAATAGGAAGTTTTCTTCCATTAAACGGATGTATCGCAAATTTTCCATGCAAATGACTATACCTTGTATCATCAGGATGAATAGCTATGGCAGTATCACCAAGCATTGTTTCCACCCTAGTCGTGGCAACAACAATCTCACCCAATCCTTCTTCCAGAGGGTATGCAAACGATGTTAAAACACCAAATTCAACTGGATTTTTATAACCAGGAACCTCTAACGGCGTCTTTTCTTTGATGTCAGTATAATCTACCTATAGAGACAAAGTAACCTCCAAATTAAGCAGGAAACAATGCAACAATTACAAACTATATCACTCAAAAGAAGTGGCTAACCTCGATATCAGATATAGCTGTTCGTAAGACACAATCCCAATTCACTAGCCGAAGATCCCTGCAAAAGTTATAATAGGATCCTCAAATAACATAACATGATCAGATAAATAAAGATTATGTTCATTATTCATTGGAATTTATAAAGAACCAGTCTTACATAGCCCTCGCCCATTTTGCATAAAAGCCTTTTTTATAAGTACTTGTTTGTATCCCTAGGTATGATAGTCACTGTATTGACAGTTTCCTATTTTAGAATATACATTTAATTAAAAAAAAAAAAAGGCACCCTTGATATTAACTATCCTGCAAAAGAGTCACCATAATAATGAATTGAGGACAACTAATCTTATCATCAGCATAAGTAATTGTCACATCCTGCAAATAGCAAAATAAGTCCAGCCATAAACTTACCGATATATGAGACCTTCCTTTTGTAACAGAACAAAAGCCTCAGTTACTGCCTTTGATCGCTTATCATCCATTGTAAAGCACTAGAGAACAAAAAGAAGCATGACATAAAAATAAGTATACATCTTAGTAATGGAAATAACATGTACAGCATGATAACCAAACTTTACCTCTCGTGACCAATCAAGAGAGGCACCCAAACGACGTAGCTGTCTTAATATGGTACCCCCATACTTGTCCTTCCATTTCCACACCTTTCCACCACAAGATCAACCAAGACCAAAAGCAATTTTAATTAAAGATGTAATGAACAGTCAAATTATTGATAAGCTTAAACTAATTGCTGACAGTAGAAACTCACCTCAGATACAAAGGCCTCACGACCAAGGTCATGCCTGGTTAATTTCTGTTCACGCATTAGCTTCTTCTCCACAACAACCTGTAAAATGGCAATCAACTATTCCAGTCAGAGATAATACGTATTTGAACTTCAAACATATTTCTGCCTAGTCAAACAAATATGGGAGAAGAATAATAACAACAATTTCAAAAGAAAAAGGGCTAGATCATATAGTTATGATTCAGCTGTTATTTCTGGAACATTACAGGTCCCCGGATTGAATTTAAGACCCAAGAATACATGGGGCTCCATAATCTGCACAGAGTCGCCCCAGAAACCCAATAAAACTGCATTGCATTTGTTATTCTAAGGAAATTGATTAAAGACGGAATCCCAGATTCAATGGGTCTAGGAGGCAAACAATATTAAAATAACACCCATTCATAAAGGAATTTTGCATTTTTAGAACCCCTGTGAACATATATATGCATAAGGAATAAATTAAATTTTAGCCCTTATTCCAAACTTGATCAATCAATTCCAATGGTAAAGGAATATAACCTGTGTTGATATCCCAGCATGGTCCATGCCAGGAACCCACAAGGTATTATATCCAGACATTCTCCTCCAACGGATGATTGTATCCTGTGTAAGGTAAAAGTCACAGGTCAAAAACATTTACACTATAAGGGAAAAATTATAAGGAAAGCAGGAAAAAATATATTACTACAGAGACCTGAATAGCAGTAGTAAGGGCATGACCAATGTGTAGAGCCCCAGTCACATTTGGAGGCGGAAGAACCTGCAGAATGAAGTCCCAACATTAAAAAACAAAAAAGAGTGAAACTATGGTCGCATGTAACTAACAAGAAGTTGCATCACATGAATAAGATACTGTCCAGCAAACTTGGATAACATTTAACATAATCAACCAACTCTTCTTTTAGGAGCCACCAAGTAACATACAAACTTCTAAACTTGAAAATATGATACTTCACACAGTGAATGCTTAGTTATTCACATCATCCATCATTTTAATCTGTAATAAACTGCAAAACGTCATAGTCTATTAGAAATTAAACTAAAAACTTACAATTACGAATGGTGGCTTGGAGCTTTTAGCATCTGCCACAAAAAAGCCTGATTTCTCCCACCACGGGTACCATCTAGCCAAAAATCAGATATAAAAAATCCATAACATAAACAAAATCGTTCATTTAATTATTGATAAATTAATTCCACCATAAAAAACTTACGACTTCTCGACAGCAGTTGGACTATACTGTTTGGCCATTTGCTTTGACATCTTTTTTCTCTCACCAAGTGGCGTCTCTGGATCAACAAACTCATCAGGATTCTCTTCACCATCATCACGCTTCACATTCCTCTTCGCACTCTTCTTCGAGGCGCCTTGCTCTTGTTTCTGTATGTTTCCACATTCAATCGGCAGAAAAATGCTAAATTACTAAGACGTGTATCCAAACTCGCTACTCGAATCAACAACGCGTGGCAACTCGCAACGTATTTTGGAAACATAAAAACATTATAACAGTATCATTGTAACTGAACCGGTAATGTTACAGTGACTTCCACTGAATTCAAGTACATCATCAGAAAATTNATTTATGAAATACATTAATAAATAATATCATAATTTACTTAAAAACAATGGGTTATTAACCCTCTCCCTTAATCATGACCTAATACATACATCACTATATGGGGTGATTAGTATGTAATACTTGTGTGAGAATAGGGATTAGCGCAGGGCCGGGTTTCCCATTCTTCCTCCCCGCCCTTGTTTGGCTGTCCTCTCCCTTATCCGACTGTCCCTGCTATCGGGATGACGGGGAATCCCTGTCCCCACCGTAGGGATTTTTTCCCGCCTCATGCAAGAAAGCTCAAATAATTGGGTTAAGTTTTCTTGAGATTGTCACCATTTATTTTGTTTTCATCGTTAAGGGCAAAATTAAGCATTGATTAATGCACCTAATTATATATAGGGTTACAAATAAGAGCATGGTTTCCATAAGCAAATCCCTTAAAAGGATCTTCAAATTGGAAATCTTTTGGTTGCTGAAAGCTAAGAAGACATCATAATTAATTTAATATTAAACCACTAGAAATTGTCGGATCTTTTGCACAAATGCGTTACTTGTGTGCTTAATTTATTTAATTGACTGAATTTAGTGATGTACTCCATAACTTTATCTTATTCGGTGGAGTTATTGAACTTTAATTAATCAACTGAAAATTAAATTAATAAAATTAAGAAAATAAATTATTTTCTCTTCCATTAATGAATTGGGATCTGAACAATACTCAAAAGTTATTGAACTCAAAACCTCTTGAGTAATACATATCTAAGAGTTCATATTGGGCTACCTAGAGATTGGTTGATCTAGGTAATTTCAGATATACAGCCAGTTTTTTTTTGCTAGTTCCTTTCAGATAAATCTATCAAATAATCTTATTTTTGTTTTGCATTTTTAATTGTGGGTATAATTTTGTAGATTAACAATATAAAGATTGGGTAATTCAGAACTATTTCCATGGAATTTGAAGTCAAATTAAAGAATAAAGCAGTAGCTTAGATCTAATTAATCCCAAAAAATTAAAAATATTAATTGATTAATTTGTTCTGTTGTTATTTTCAGGTGGATGTCCATATAATTATAAAAATGATATAAAGTGGGGTACAAGAAGTTGCAAGCTCAACCACCATAAGAGTTTAAAGATTTAATTAAAGCTTATATAAACAGCCAATTAGCTTCAATTCATGTCCTAAAAAGCAATCGATACTGATAATAACTCATATATGTATATAATTATATATTAAATTTAATTAATTATTTACAATATGGTCAAGGATCATTATCATGATCATCATTTCTCGGTGGTCAATAGCTATAGCTATATGTATATAATTAAAGAAGTGAAAAAGAAATTAAAGAAACAAAAGAGGGAGACCATAAAAGCACATGCAAGCCACCCTTCTGTGATATTAAATATCCTGCAAAAGAGTCACCATAATAATGAATTGAGGACAACTAATCTTATCATCAGAAATAAGATTGTCACATCTGCAAATAGCAAAATAAGTCCAGCCATAAACTTACCGATATATGAGACCTCCTGTAACAGAACAAAAGCCTCAGTTACTGCCTTTGATCGCTTATCACCATTGTAAGCAATAGAGAACAAAAAGAAGCATGACATAAAAATAAGTATACATTAGTAATGGAAATAACATGTACAGCATGATAACCAAACTTTACCTCTGACCAATCAAGAGAGGCACCCAAACGACGTGCTGTCTTAATATGGTACCCCCCTACTGGTCCTTCCATTCCACACCTTTCCACCACAAGATCAACCAAGACCAAAACAATTTTAATTAAAGATGTAATGAACAGTCAAATTATTTAAGCTTAAACTAAATGCTGACAGTAGAAACTCACCTCAGATACAAAGGCCTCACGACCAAGGTCATGCCTGGTTAATTCTGTTCACGCATTAGCTTCTTCTCCACCAACACCTGTAAAATGGCAATCAATATTCCAGTCAGAGATAATATGTATGAACTTCAAACATATTTCTGCCTAGTCAAAACAAATATGGGAGAAGAATAATAACAATTTCAAAAGAAAAAGGCTAGATCATATAGTTATGATTCAGCTGTTATTCTGGAACATTACAGGTCCCGGATTGAATTTAAGACCAAGAATACATGGGGCTCCATAATCTGCACAGAGTCGCCCCAGAAACCAATAAAACTGCATTGCATTTGTTATTCTAAGGAAATTGATTAAAGAACGGAATCCCAGATTCAATGGGTCTAGGAGGCAAACAATATTAAATAACACCCATTCATAAAGGAATTTTGCATTTTTAGAACCCTGTGAACATATATATGCATAAGGAATAAATAAATTTTAGCCCTATTCCAAACTTGATCAATCAATTCCAATGGTAAAGGAATATAACCTGTGTTGATATCCCAGCATGGTCCATGCCAGGAACCCACAGGTATTATATCCAGACATTCTTCTCCAACGAATATTGTACCTGTGTAAGGTAAAAGTCACAGGTCAAAAAATTTACACTATAGGGAAAAATTATAAGGAAAGCAGGAAAAATATATTACTACAGAGACCTGAATAGCAGTAGTAAGGGCATGACCAATGTGTAGAGCCCCAGTCACATTTGGAGGGGAAGAACCTGCAGAATGAAGTCCCAACATTAAAAAACAAAAAAGAGTGAAACTATGGTCGCATGTAACTAACAAGAAGTTGCACACATGAATAAGATACTGTCCAGCAAACTTGGATAACATTTAACATAATCAACCAACTCTTCTTTTAGGAGCCACCAGTAACATACAAACTTCTAAACTTGAAAATATAATACTTCACACAGTGAATGCTTAGTTATTCACATCATCCATCATTTAATCTGTAATAAACTGCAAAACGTCATAGTCTATTAGAAATTAAACTAAAAATTACAATTACAATGGTGGCTTGGAGCTTTTAGCATCTGCCACAAAAAGCCTGATTTCTCCCACCACGGGTACCATCTAGCCAAAAATCAGATATAAAAAACCATAACTAAACAAAATCGTTTATTAATTATTGATAAATAATTCCACCATAAAAAACTTACGACTTCCGACAGAGTTGGATTTACTGTTTGGCCATTGCTTTGACATCTTTTTTCTCTCACCAAGTGGGTCTCTGGATCAACAAACTCATCAGGATTCTTCACATCATCACGCTTACATTCCTCTTCGCACTCTTCTTCGAGGCGCCTTGCTCTTGTTTCTGTATGTTTCACATTCAATCGGCAGAAAAATGCTAAATTACTAAGACGTGTATCCAAACTCGCTACTCGAATCAACAACGCGTGGCAACTCGCAACGTATTTTGGAAACATAAAAACATTATAACAATATCCTTGTAACTGAACCGGTAATGTTACAGTGACTTCCATGAATTCAAGTACCTCACAGAAAATTAAAAAAAAAAAAAAAAAATTCACCTCATTTTTTCTGCTTTCTCCAATGCCTTAAGTTTCTTCAGTTCCTTCTCCTTTGCCTAAAGTAAAAAATTATTTTAAAAAAATAAATCAACATACAACATACTAAGTGTAAGTATTATTATAAAGAGAAATAAATACCTTTTCCTCTTTCTTCTTCTTCGTTCGAGCTCTTCCTCAGTGAGGATCTTCTTTCAGGTTCTGACTAATGAATTCAAAAAATTTCAAAAAACGTAGGCATAAAAGTTGAATTATGATCAGAAAAAGAGAAATGGACGGTGATTATAAGATGCGTACCATGATTAGATCCGTGAAATGAACGCGAACAGAATGATGCTAGAGAAAAGACAGCAGTAGCACGAGAAGAGAATAAGTTTGATTAACAGTGAAAATGGCAAAAATGCGATAAGAGGAGTCTTGAGTTAAACGACATTAAAAAGTCGAGGCTCTAAAACCCTATTTAAATATTTTACACCCGAAGATTTAATCAATAACATAAGGTTCATATTTGGAAATAACAATAACGCCACAATTCTGAAATACCCATTTTACCCTGTACCATATTATAATTATTTTTAATAATACCATTATTTACACTTCTATTCTAACTACTCAATATATAAATCTAAAATTAAATTAAAACATGTAACTTTGAATTAATCATAAACATGTGCAATCGATATGAAATCCATCTCTCTATAATCGAAATCTAAAATTGAAACAAACCTGTGTTGGCAATTAGAAGTAAGTTGTGCCATGTAGCAATGGAATTGGGGGAAAGTATATATTCTACTAGTGGCGAGTTGACGAGTTTGAGAGATTTGGGACTGGGGGTTAGTTAATGGGTTACTTGGGCATATATATTTGCAAAGTAATGGCAAGTGTATTTTTCGACTTGTTGTTTATTTTTGAGTTTTTTGAAATTGCTTCTAAATCATAAGTTTTTTTTTTTTTAATGCCCTTAAAAAGAGAGAGAGAAGTTAAGATGAAGAAAATAGGGAAAAGGGTAATTTTGGATTAAATTAAATTCACTTTTTTAATTAATTTGGGGTTAGTGTTTACAAAAGAGGTATGGGTTATAACACCTCTAGGCTAGAGTGATATACTTTTTTTGGGTAAATCAGCCCAAAGTAAGATGGGCCTCTTTCAGCAAAGCCCAAGGCCATATTCTTTTTCCTATGAAGTATTGGGCCAAAATCACTTTCTTATTTTAACACTTTATCTTCTAAAAACACTCGTGAGGCCCAAATCAATAATATTTTATTAGAATTAAAAATAAGAACGACATCCTTAAGGAAAAGCCAGAAGGTTCAAACTACAAACACATGAGACACGGATATAGAATCCCATATGCACAAAAAAAAACACACCATAAGGTATACACGAAGAACACCTCGCGGGTACAAGCAAAGCAAAAAGTCACTTAGGTCTTAGAAGAAAATAAGGACAACCTAAAGACTTCCAATCAAAACAACAATCACAACCAGGGGGCGAATTAAAACGGCGGTGCCCTCCCAACGTCATGAGGCCACCAAATACCACCCTTATGTCACTGTTGCATCCAAACCAGTCTGTAGCATTAGGGCAGCTCCTTGAGAGATCAATGGGCACACCACAATCCAGACACCCTTCCATCCTAAGCCACAAAAATGCCTCCTTGACACAAAAGAAATGATAAGAGGTTCCTAGTTTTGTGCTTTACAGTGTACCCAAGAGCCCCAAACTCCAGAACTGAACGTGACTATCCACCCCAAATGATAAAAAAAACCACATCACCATAATTACTCATTCAAGTTTAGGGTTTTTTTAAATAATCTCAATCACATGGAGAGTAATGCTACACTTAAAAAATCAAGATGTAAAGCTTGCACCACAATGGACAGACAACTTATTTACAATATTACACTGATAGTAAGTTTATATAATTGATGATGTTACTCTATTAAATAAACCGTCGATTATTTTTGTATTTTTACACAAGTTTTGACATATTTTTTAAGTCATTAGATTTATTTAAATGGTAAAGATACGTTTCAAATCGTGTCATCAGCATCACGAATCATTGGATGCAGATATACCTACAGGATATGCAATAGGCATTAAAAGGACTGCTTCACATATTTAGACACAGACAATCTCAACTGACTTTCTGAAAGGAATGAATTAAGACTTCCTCAAGTTACATAGTAATTTACCATTTTCTATGTCAAATATCTTAGTGATAATTGTGCCACAAGAAATAAAGAAATCAGACATGCGGATGACTGTCAAGTACACAGGTAATATATGTACAGTAAAAATCCCTATAACATCAAAACTCCAGTACTGTACCACCTACGTCCACGCAAAGGAGGACAGAAACAAAACTTCAAGTCCTTTATAAGTTATGAGAATATTTTTTCATCAATTCAATGTCATGTGGTATTGCTTAATCACTTAGAATCTCAACAACTAGCACACAGTATACATTCCTAATAAACCCCACAACTGAAACAGTTTAAAAGTAGCGCTACTTAATTTCATTATAAGTCTAATGCCTCTTCTGTGACACAATGTTAAAACAATACTTTTATTTGCCAGACCGCTAAAAATGTTTATTAATCAGTAGACACAGTTGAACTTGATACCTATCCTGATCAGCCAACAAAATTGGGATCTAAACACATTATATGGCTCTATATAAATTAAATTGAAAGACAACTGTTCACTTACATATCTGAAAGGTACATCACCGCCCAGTTTAATTCCTAACATCACCATTCGAGCAACCCAGAAAAAGAGAATGTCATGCCCAGTTTCAAGAACAGAAGTAGGATAAAATGTCTTCAGGTCATCTGTATCATCTGGCCACCCCAAAACTGATAATGGAAAGAGACCAGAAGAAAACCAGGTGTCAAGTACATCAGGATCTTGACACAACTCAAACTTCTTCCCGGAAAATTTTTTGCTAGCCTCTACTAGTGCCTCTTTCTCATCTCTAGCAACTATCCAATGGTCATTATATGAACCAAGTTCCTTCAATTCATCATCTTCCAATGCAACATACCATGCAGGAATTCGGTGACCCCACCAAAGTTGCCTCGAGATACACCAGTCACGAATGCCCTCTAGCCATCTGTCAATTTTTAATCTCAAAATCAGTAATATTGATCACGAGGCCATACCAACTCAAAATAAAATCAGGTAATTAATAGAGCAATGAATTCATATCATAAAAATGATGACCACACAACAGATTAACACAATTATCAGATACATTTGCATCAAATTTCCATTAAAATTCAGACAAAAATGACAACATGAGAGCACCTTCTCCATTCAGCCTTATACTGTTCTGGGATGATCTCAAGCTTCCCACTATTGACTGCACCAAGACCCTCTGCTGCCATGCTTTTGCAGTTAACATACCACTGGGGCTTTATCATTGGCTCTATTACGTCATTACTTCTTGAACAACGGCCAAGGCGCATCTCGTTGTTTTTAGCACCTCTATACAACCCCTAATTGTATGAAGAATAATAGTTACAAAATAATTATATCATACTATGCAGATGAACAGAGTACTTCTATAATATAGCAAGAACCTTCTTTTGTAATGCTTCAGTCACAGCAACACGGGCCTCAAAACGTAGCATCCCCTCAAATTCCGAACCACCATTACTATTTATTTTTCCATCATCAGTAAAAACGTTTATAAATTCAAGATTGTGCCGCTTGCCAACCTCAAAATCATTTGGATCATGGGCTGGAGTTATCTGCAAAAACATTAAGGGAAGGGCAATTGGCATACCTTAAAAGAGTAGAAGACCAATTCATTTTTAGCATTCAAAGTTGAACATGTAAATTTTTACCTTAACAGCTCCAGTCCCAAAGTTCGGATCAACAAGAATTCCATCACAGACAATAGGAAGTTTTCTTCCATTAAACGGATGTATCGCAAATTTTCCATGCAAATGACTATACCTTGTATCATCAGGATGAATAGCTATTGCAGTATCACCAAGCATTGTTTCCACCCTAGTCGTGGCAACAACAATCTCACCCAATCCTCCTTCCAGAGGGTATGCAAACGATGTTAAAACACCAAATTCAACTGGATTTTTATAACCAGGAACCTCTAACAGCGTCTTTTCTTTGATGTCAGTATAATCTACCTATAAACACAAAGTAACCTCCAAATTAAGCAGGAAACAATGCAACAATTACAAACTATATCACTCAAAAGAAGCGGCTAACCTCGATATCAGATATAGCTGTTCGTAAGACACAATCCCAATTCACTAGCCGAAGATCCCTGCAAAAGTTATAATAGGATCCTCAAATAACATAACATGATCAGATAAATAAAGATTATGTTCATTATTCATTGGAATTTATAAAGAACCAGTCTTACATAGCCCTCGCCCATTTTGCATAAAAGCCTTTTTTATAAGTACTTGTTTGTATCCCTAGGTATGATAGTCACTGTATTGACAGTTTCCTATTTTAGAATATACATTTAATTAAAAAAAAAAAAAGGCACCCTTGATATTAACTATCCTGCAAAAGAGTCACCATAATAATGAATTGAGGACAACTAATCTTATCATCAGCATAAGTAATTGTCACATCCTGCAAATAGCAAAATAAGTCCAGCCATAAACTTACCGATATATGAGACCTTCCTTGTGTAACAGAACAAAAGCCTCAGTTACTGCCTTTGATCGCTTATCATCCATTGTAAAGCACTAGAGAACAAAAAGAAGCATGACATAAAAATAAGTATACATCTTAGTAATGGAAATAACATGTACAGCATGATAACCAAACTTTACCTCTCGTGACCAATCAAGAGAGGCACCCAAACGACGTAGCTGTCTTAATATGGTACCCCCATACTTGTCCTTCCATTTCCACACCTTTCCACCACAAGATCAACCAAGACCAAAAGCAATTTTAATTAAAGATGTAATGAACAGTCAAATTATTGATAAGCTTAAACTAATTGCTGACAGTAGAAACTCACCTCAGATACAAAGGCCTCACGACCAAGGTCATGCCTGGTTAATTTCTGTTCACGCATTAGCTTCTTCTCCACAACAACCTGTAAAATGGCAATCAACTATTCCAGTCAGAGATAATACGTATTTGAACTTCAAACATATTTCTGCCTAGTCAAACAAATATGGGAGAAGAATAATAACAACAATTTCAAAAGAAAAAGGGCTAGATCATATAGTTATGATTCAGCTGTTATTTCTGGAACATTACAGGTCCCCGGATTGAATTTAAGACCCAAGAATACATGGGGCTCCATAATCTGCACAGAGTCGCCCCAGAAACCCAATAAAACTGCATTGCATTTGTTATTCTAAGGAAATTGATTAAAGACGGAATCCCAGATTCAATGGGTCTAGGAGGCAAACAATATTAAAATAACACCCATTCATAAAGGAATTTTGCATTTTTAGAACCCCTGTGAACATATATATGCATAAGGAATAAATTAAATTTTAGCCCTTATTCCAAACTTGATCAATCAATTCCAATGGTAAAGGAATATAACCTGTGTTGATATCCCAGCATGGTCCATGCCAGGAACCCACAAGGTATTATATCCAGACATTCTCCTCCAACGGATGATTGTATCCTGTGTAAGGTAAAAGTCACAGGTCAAAAACATTTACACTATAAGGGAAAAATTATAAGGAAAGCAGGAAAAAATATATTACTACAGAGACCTGAATAGCAGTAGTAAGGGCATGACCAATGTGTAGAGCCCCAGTCACATTTGGAGGCGGAAGAACCTGCAGAATGAAGTCCCAACATTAAAAAACAAAAAAGAGTGAAACTATGGTCGCATGTAACTAACAAGAAGTTGCATCACATGAATAAGATACTGTCCAGCAAACTTGGATAACATTTAACATAATCAACCAACTCTTCTTTTAGGAGCCACCAAGTAACATACAAACTTCTAAACTTGAAAATATGATACTTCACACAGTGAATGCTTAGTTATTCACATCATCCATCATTTTAATCTGTAATAAACTGCAAAACGTCATAGTCTATTAGAAATTAAACTAAAAACTTACAATTACGAATGGTGGCTTGGAGCTTTTAGCATCTGCCACAAAAAAGCCTGATTTCTCCCACCACGGGTACCATCTAGCCAAAAATCAGATATAAAAAATCCATAACATAAACAAAATCGTTCATTTAATTATTGATAAATTAATTCCACCATAAAAAACTTACGACTTCTCGACAGCAGTTGGACTATACTGTTTGGCCATTTGCTTTGACATCTTTTTTCTCTCACCAAGTGGCGTCTCTGGATCAACAAACTCATCAGGATTCTCTTCACCATCATCACGCTTCACATTCCTCTTCGCACTCTTCTTCGAGGCGCCTTGCTCTTGTTTCTGTATGTTTCCACATTCAATCGGCAGAAAAATGCTAAATTACTAAGACGTGTATCCAAACTCGCTACTCGAATCAACAACGCGTGGCAACTCGCAACGTATTTTGGAAACATAAAAACATTATAACAGTATCATTGTAACTGAACCGGTAATGTTACAGTGACTTCCACTGAATTCAAGTACATCATCAGAAAATTTAAAAAAAAAAAAAGGAGCACAAATTTTAAAAAAAAAAAATCACCTTCATTTTTTCTGCTTTCTCCAATGCCTTAAGTTTCTTCAGTTCCTTCTCCTTTGCCTAAAGTAAAAAATTATTTAAAAAAAATTAAATCAACATACGTAAGTGTAAGTATATATTATAAAGAGAAATAAATACCTTTTCCTCTTTCTTCTTCTTTCGTTCGAGCTCTTCCTCAGTGAGGATCTTCTTCTCAGGTTCTGACTAATGAATTCAAAATAATTTCAAAAAACGTAGGCATAAAAGTTGAATTATGATCAGAAAAAGAGAAATGGACGGTGATTATAAGATGCGTACCATGATTACTGATCCGTGAAATGAACGCGAACAGAATGATGCTAGAGAAAAGACAGCAGTAGCACGAGAAGAAGAATAAGTGGATTTGTAACAGTGAAAATGGCAAATATGCGATAAGAGGAGTCTTGAGTTAAACGACATTAAAAAGTCGAGGCCTCTAAAACCCTATTTAAATTAATTTTACACCCCGGAGATTTAATGAACAAAAATCAGGTCCTTATATTTCGGAAATTAACAATAACGCCACAATTCTAAAATACCCATTTTTACCCTTGCTACCATATTTATAATTATTTTAATAATACCATTATTTTACACTTCTAATTTCTAAACTACTCAATATATAAATCTAAAATTAAATTAAAACATGTAAACTTTGAATTAATCATAACATGTCAATGTCGATCATGAAATCCATCTCTCTATAATCGAAATCTAAAATTGAAACAAACCTGTGTTGACAATTTAGCGAAGTAAAGTTGCTGCCATGTTGTGGTAGCAATGGAATTCGGGAAAGTATATACTTCTACTAGTGGCGAGTTGAACGAAGATTTGAGATGTAAATTTGGGACTTGGGGAGTTCATAAATGTTAAAATGGGTTACTTGGGCATTATATTATTTGCAAAGTAATGGCAAGTGATATTCTTTCCGATCTTGGTTTGGTTTATTTTTATGAGTTTTTTGAAATTGCTTTAAATCATAAGTTTTTTTTTTTTTTAATGCCCTTAAAAAGAGAGAGAGAAGTTCAAAAAGATGAAGAAAATAGGGAAAAGGGTAATTTTGGATTAAATTAAATTCACTTTTTCTAATTAATTTTGGGGTTTAGTGTTTACAAAAGAGTGTTATCGGGGTTTTAATAACACCATCCTAGGCTAGAAGTGATATACCATTTTTTTGGGTAAATCAGCCCAAAGTAAGATGGGCCTCTTTCAGCAAAGCCCAAGGCTCATATTCTTTTTCCTAGAGAAGCTATTGGGCCAAAATCACTTTCTTTATTTTAACACTTTAGTCTTTCTAAAAACACTCGTGAGGCCCAAATCAATAATATTTATTAGAATTAAAAAATAAGAGACGACATCCATTAAGGAAAAGCCCAGAAGGTTCAAACTACAACACATGAGACACGGATATAGAATCCCATATGCACAAAAAAAAAACACACCATAAGGCATACACGAAGAACACCTCGCGGGTACAAGCAAAAGCAAAGTCACTTAGGTCTTAGAAGAAAATAAGGACAACCTAAAGACCTTCCAATCAAAATCACAAGTCACAACCAGGGGGCGAATTAAAACGGCGGTGCCCTCCCAACGTCATGAGGCCACCAAATACCACCCTTATGTCCACTGTTGCATCCAAACCAGTCTGTAGCATCTAGGGCAGCTCCTTGAGAGATCAAATGGGCACACCACAATCCAGACACCTTCCATCCTAAGCACAAAAATGCCTCCTTGACACAAAAGAAATGATAAGAGGTTCCTAGTTTTGTGCTTTCCAGTGTACCCAAGAGCCCCATAACTCCAGAACTGAACGTGACTATCCCACCCCAGAATGATGAAAAAAACCACATCACCATAATTACTCATTCAAGTTTAGGGTTTTTTCTAAATAATCTCAATCACATGGAGAGTAATGCTACACTTAAAAAATCAAGATGTAAAGCTTGCACCACAATGGACATGACAACTTATTTATCAATATTACACTGATAGTAAGTTTATATAATTGATGATGTTACTCTATTAAATAAACCGTCGATTATTTTCTGTATTTTTACACAAGTTTTGGCATATTTTTTTAAGTCATTAGATTTATTTTAAATGGTAAAGATTACGTTTCAAATCGTGTCATCTATGAAATACATTAATAAATAATATCATAATTTACTTAAAAACAATGGGTTATTAACCCTCTCCCTTAATCATGATCTAATCCATACATCACTATATGGGGTGATTAGTATGTAATATTTGTGTGAGAATAGGGATCAGTGCAGGGCCGGGTTTCCCATTTTTCGTCCTAGCCCTTGTCCGGCTGTCCTCGCCCTTGTCCGACTATCCCCGTTATCAGGATGACGGAGAATCCCTGTCCCCACCGTAGGGATTTTTTCCCGCCTCATGCAAGAAAGCTCAAATAATTGGGTTAAGTTTTCTTGAGATTGTCACCATTTATTTTGTTTTCATCGTTAAGGGCAAAATTAAGCATTGATTAATGCACCTAATTATATATAGGGTTACAAATAAGAACATGGTTTCCATAAGCAAATCCCTTAAAAGGATCTTCAAATTGGAAATCTTTTGGTTGCTGAAAGCTAAGAAGACATCATAATTAATTTAATATTAAACCACTAGAAATTGTCGGATCTTTTGCACAAATGCGTTACTTGTGTGCTTAATTTATTTAATTGACTGAATTTAGTGATGTACTCCATAACTTTATCTTGTTCGGTGGAGTTATTGAACTTTGATTAATCAACTGAAAATTAAATTAATAAAATTAAGAAAAAAAATTATTTTCTCTTCCATTAATGAATTGGGATCTGGGTAATATCCAAAAGTTATTGAACTCATGACCTCTTGAGTAATACATATCTAAGAATTCCTATTCGGCTACCTAAAGATTGGTTGATCTGGGTAATTTCAGATATACAGCCAGTTTTTTTAACTAGTTCCTTTGAGATAAATCTCTCAAATAATCTTATTTTTGTTTTGAATTTTAAATTGTGGGTATAATTTTGTAGATTAACAATATAAAGATTGGGTAATTCAGAACTATTTCCATGGAATTCGAAGTCAAATTAAAGAATAAAGCAGTAGCTTAGATCTAATTAATCCCAAAAAATTAAAAATATTAATTGATTAATTTGTTCTGATGTTATTTTCAGGTGGATGTCCATATAATTATAAAAATGATATAAAGTGGGGTACAAGAAGTTGCAAGCTCAACCACCATAAGAGTTTAAAGATTTAATTAAAGCATATATAAACAGCCAATTAGCTTCAATTCATGTCCTAAAAAGCAATCGATACTGATAATAACTCATATATGTATATAATTATATATTAAATTTAATTAATTATTTACAACATGGTCAAGGATCATTATCATGATCATCATTTCTCGGTGGTCAATAGCTATAGCTATATGTATATAATTAAAGAAGTGAAAAAGAAATTAAAGAAACAAAAGAGGGAGACCATAAAAGCACATGCAAGCCACCATTATAGTTAATAATTAATCACTAAAAAGAGGTAATGGGATCCTAGGTTAGCATGACCATAAAGACCCTCCAATATTTGCTTGATCAACATGCATGTCCATGGAGAAGAAGGACTTGGCCGCCGGAGAAGAAGCAGTAGTGTTTGCGGATTCTGAAGAAAATTGCCGCATTCTCATGTGCACAACTTCAGCTTGAGCAAGCGCCAGTTGAGTTTGCAGCGAGTCGATCTGTTGCTGTAGAGATGAAATGGCTCCAACGCAACCGTAAACTGGATCTCTTACTCTTGCATTGGCTTCATACACCATTGAACTCACTGCATCGCTGCGTTGGTGCTCTGGAAGTTCCTGTATATGTTCATGCACAAATACAACCCAGAAAATGATTTTGAGGACAAAGTTCCATGCATACTTGAAGAATATATTAATATATAGAGATTACGAGAAAAATAATTTAGAATTTCAACAAATTAAGAAGCTTTATCATGTTGTATCACTACAAGAAAAATATCATTTATTAATACAGAGTTAAAACTTCGCAGAATAGATTATATTTCGACGTAAATAGTGCTACAATATCCGACGTATTAAGTTAATGCTATCTCATCTAGAGGTTAAATTTCTAGAATAATAATCTCAACCTAATTGTACATGGTAAGATCGATGTTATTTTGTAACATACCTCGGCCACCAAATTACAAAGAAGTCATGATGTAGTCATGGTGTCATGCTTAGATAATAATAATATAATTAAACTCTTAATTACATGTGTAGAAATAAATAAAATTGAATTAAAGCTTCATTAATTAAATGTGCTTACATCAATCACATTTTCGATCTATTTTTACTAGCAGTAGTCTCTATCAATGCAAAGCAAATGGGTTCTTAAAGCATAAAAGCACAGATGATTCATAGACATTACTTTAAAGATAAGAATTCCAAGGCCAAAAAAAAAAAGCTAACTCTTTCTCATTTTACTAAGAATCATTTGGGTAAAGTAATCTTATAATATAATGGGATGCTAGCTTTAGAAAAAGAGAATTAAGGCAAACCTAACGATAATTAACCACCGTAACAGACACCAAAACAAACCATTTAAAAGATTATGGATCCTTACAAAGGTATAAGTCTCTGCGCCTCTTAGTGTACTAGTCAACAAAGCACATAAAACTCTTCTTTAAATCTACATCAAGCTGCCCTTTTTTAAACACTCTTTTTCATAATATAATAAAGCTTTACATATGTTCTTGTTATCTCACGAATATGTACAATTATTGACCATAAAGAAGGAGCTAGATATCAGATATATATATTTATATATTCTTGGTGTAGAGTTGGAAAAGTTAACCATAGTTTACAAGTAGTGAGTTGTTGGGTTGATCGATCTTTTAATAAAGAGTTCTCTCTTTCAATCGGGAATGTTTCAGAAGTCATCTCTTATTTTAAGCCAAGAATAATGAATATATATCGTTTTTTAGACGTCATTCGAAGAAAATATCCATCATATAATAAACTTCTTTGCCTAATGTATATACATGAGGCTACGCTATCTATGATGTTTTCTAGCCTAAACAAAGAGTAGCGAGAGAGATTTGGTTTATTACGTCCCTTAGTTTTTAGCTTTCTGTCGAGGTTTCCAAAAGGAAAATAAAGAGAAGAAAATGATGGTCAGTTTGACATATATGGAAGAGAGAAGAATGGAAAGTAATGAACCTGTAACATCTTGTTAACATTGCTTGCACCGAACACCTTGTGAACACTGGCAAACTTCTGAGGTTCATCGGCCGGGAAATAAGGAGCAAAAACACAGTCTTGAGCACATCTCCGCCGCAGAAGTTTGCATGCCGCGCATGGCGATAGTGTACCTTGCTTTCTACCACTCTCCTTCATACTTGATTTAATTATATATCAACTAATATTACTCACCACAAAATATAAGTATAATTTAGCTAATAAGTACTAGCAAAACAAAACAAGGAAATTTCAGACAAAATCACAATAAAGTAACTCAAGATGGATGAAGATCAAAGATCTCTAGCTAGCTAGTTTATTAGAAGAGAATAATGTTGAAAAAGAGAGAAGAGGAAGGGGGGGCTTGAAGGGAGAGGTAATGGGTGTTATATAGAGAAGGTATTTGACAGCAAATCTTTGGGGGGTTCCACCAGAGAAGAGGGCTTAGATTTGATGACAAATACGTCGTTTTTGTTTAGATCTTTTGCCCCACCTCAATATGATATTTTGTCGCTCTTTTTCTTCTTTTTAACGTTTAAATACCTTATTTAATTTTACTTTCGTAGATTATGTTTAATTCCTTCATAATTTAATAGATTATAGATGGTAGATTATTCAATACTGATAATCTCTTGTAGATTTACTAATAAATATATCAATCGAAACGTGATAAGAAAAAAAATTGCATTGCATTGCTTCTTCTCATCAACAACTTATAGTATATACGTAAATAAGTTCAAACTATTGGTGTTTCTACTAGCTTCATTCTTCTTCTTCTTCTATTTTTTTATTGGCATTTAACAGCTGTTGAGATAATTACAACTCTCTTTTTAATTTAGTTGTTTCGTTGACTCTAAATTACAATAAATAACGAGTTAAATACTTATGCACGTTACTATGAGAAGTTATTTGAACACTATAGATTTAAAAGGGTATGCGATTAGTTACTAGATTATGTGGTGTCTCTATTTTTATATATCTATATTAATGTTAATGCTAAATTTCTCTCTCTCTCTCTCTCTCTCTCTCTCTCTCTCTATATATATATATATATTTTTTTTTTTTTTATAACATTGGATGTCCAGGTTAGTTTATATGCACTTCAACTAGTCTTCTAGAATCCTAAAACTATCGATCAAGAAAGAGTTATAGTGACTAAACAAATAATATTGAATCCCGTTAAATTGTTAGGTTAATTTTCTGTGTAATATGCAATTTATTTTATACATATTTCAGTTCAGTCCAAATGGGCTAGGTGTTTTTTTTTTAAAATGAAAAATCATATACCAGATGCTTCCCAAAGAAGTGAAGACTTGAACCAAAGCTTTTCTGTTTTGAAATATGGTAAAACTGGAGGAACCAAAGCTTTGATATTTTGATATCAAACTACGAAAAAATCATTAAAAAAACAGACAAGAATGTTCTATTTCTGACTACATGCATTCTGAAATTTGAAGAAGGAGCGTAGTTAGGTGGATTGATATGATATCATATGACATATAATTAATAATTAATTCATTAGTTAAATCTTCAATCCTCTCGAAAGTGTTTAATCTCAAATCTTAATACTAATTTAATTTAATTTCATTTAATCTTCATCAATTGATATGACTTGGCCCTATATATATACATCTACAACTACTACCATATCTCATTATTATCTTCCCCACCAATTCTTGTAATTTTCGTCACCTTCACAGATATTAGATTCCCCATCGTTTTTCTCAATTTTGTTTATTTCTATGAAATATTGAGATAAATACAAAGCTCTGCCGGCTGCGAATGAAAAATATTGAAAGCAAATATGTTGTTTGAATTTACAAATACTCTTAACTAGATTTGAACATACATGGGAAAATGTTCTTACTTTAGTGTACACTAAATACAAGACAACGAAAGCTCTTCTGGGTTCATTTTCTACACCTTATCTAAACCCTTGAAAATTGTTCATTTATCCTATAGTTTAAATCACCGAAATTAATTTCTGTCAAAATTTGAACCGTAGTAGCATACTTTTCTTGTTTCCTAAGATAAATGTGTGTGGAAAGGGTAATTTGGTTTCATGTCTTTTTAGGTACTTAAATTAATCGATCCATCAATCTTTTAGCCTCTTTTAAGTTTTTTGTCTTGTAATGAAGGGGGTAATTAACTTCTTAATAAACCAATTACCAAAATTAATGATTAAAGTAGCTCTTGTAAGTTGGACTAAGCTAGCTTTGCCCTACCAATTTTCACCTTTGAAATCAATATCACATTTAAAAGAGATTGAAATCTCTTCATTATTTTACAACAATATTTTTAGTACAAGTGATCCATGGAATAACTCAAGTGGTAAAACGAATGTTAAAATGTGTGGATAAAACGCACAGTGGCTTGAATCCTCCTAATTCTCAAGATTTAAACAGGTGATTATGGTAATGAGATGTTGTGTTAGTCATCTATATAATCATCTACAAAGATTAGTAGAGGTGTGCAAGCTGACCTGGACATTATGTTTCTTAAAAATAAAAAAAAGATTTCATTGTGTTTTTCTTTTTATTTAATGTTTAATTGTGCTTTTCGTACTTGTTTTTATCATGGTTTAGTACTAGAGTAAAGCTTATGCTCAACATGTTAATTTCAACGATTGCTTATATGATTATGTCCAGAGACTAACTAATTAGTGGAATTAATCATTTCTAGCGTGATTTAATTGACTTTTGTATTTATTCTCTCTAAAAAAAAATTTCAATTTGCTTACATAAGAAAGGAATGTGTTTTTTTATTGGTTCAATACTGTTATTGTTACTGAACCGGTACTGTTATTGTTACTGAACCGGTGGGCCATAATAGAGCAAACGACATTTTTCCACCAAAGGTTTGGCGAATCTACGTGCCCACCCCTAGTTTCATAATTTGCAGATTCTCACCCTTAAATTAACAGATAACTGTTTAATCTAACAGTTAAAAGGGTAAAATAGTAATTTCAAAGATGAAAATGTCAAAATAACCCTTCACTTCTCTAATTCACCCCACTTGAAAATTTTAAAATAATCCTTCACTTCTCTAATTCACCTCATCGGTGATTTCAGACCATTCCAGCATGTTTCCGACACAATCGACCCCTCCTAACGCCACCATTACAATCCCCTCAACCCTCACATCAAAACCCCTAATCGTCGGTCATCGCTTTTAGTGTCAATCGGTGTTTCATCCAAATTTTAGCAAGTCTCGACACCGAAAACCACCCCTAAGACCACCAATAGTATTGCCGGCTTCCCCTCACCAAAAACCCCAACATCGCCAACTACAATTGCCCGTCGATCGTCGCCGCCTCTCCCTTAGGTTTTTGCATTTTTTCGCCCCTTTCCAGCCAAATTCCAGCACCTCGCCGATGTGCAATCGGGTGGAAAAGTTAGGAGTTTTGGTGAAGAGGATAAGGAGATGTTGATGGTGGTGTCGAGGAGGTCCAATGGTGCCAGAATCAGGCTGGATTCTTGGCTTGGCTGGGATCATCTGGGGGTTTTTTGAGAGAAATTTGAGATATAGGGATTATTTTGAGAAAAAATAACGGTGTTAATTTAAAGGTGGGAGTCTACAATTTATGAAACCAGGGGTGGGAACTTGCAGATTCGCCAAACCATGGGTGGGAAAATGTCGTTTACTCACCATAATATTATAAGGATATTTACGGATTAATCCATTAATATCATGATAATAAGATTATTATAAGATCCTAATGCGACACATATATGAACAATTTTTGATAAATTCATGGCAATTATCATATCAAGAGATAAGATAGGTAGTAGATTAGTAAGTAATATGTAGAGAAAACTAGCTAGTATAAAAATTACAAGAACAAAAGTAGTTGGAATTAATGTATTATACTATCAAGTCTAGCATCATCTAGCATAGTTTACCATGTTTTCATTAGACTATCATACCATACTATTAAATATTAAACTCGATCAATACTATCGAGTCTAACATAGTTTACCGCTATATATTTGTAATATAATATTTATTGTTTTATTGACTATATATGTCTGAAACCTAGTTAAACAATATATATATATCTCTTTTAACTAAAGACAATGTATCCCTAATAAGATTTTTACTTATATAATTGCATAGTTTAATCACTTATCCCGATCATCAGGAATCTATCTGAATATATATAATTTATATATGTTAAAGAAACCACCATGATCATGGAGGGATTTTTTTCATGGACCCCTATCCCATTTATATAATATATCTGAACATCAAAGAAGAAAACAAAAGGCAGACATATATTTGAAATTAATCATCTTATATTAACCTTATTAATATCCTGAGCTTCTCTCTCTTTGCAAACATTATTCGGTCCAATCTCATGTTGTTTTGGAAGAGCTACGTCTTACTGCTTGCACCACCAACGACGATTCAAGTTAATTGATCAAATGTCTTATCCAATAATTGAAGATCAATGCATTGCAAAGTTTGAAATATGATCGATTATTTGTGGGGAACATATCACAATGGAGTTGAGACTTTAATTAACGTTGTCATTAATTCCATCCAGTTTGCTGTTATTTTCAAATAGTGATCACTTCATGCTAAGAAAGAGTAAGAGAGAGCTTCAAATGCAGGCAGATATGGAGTTTGTGTGAAAAAAGTGAGAGTTTATTTTAAAATTCAAATAGATCATATGATAAGATAGGAATCAAATTTAGAAACGTAACACATGAGCTAAGACGCTTTTGACAATTTAAAATTAATATTAATGAAAGAAAAAATTTGCCAAAAAAAACTTTATGTTAAATGATCCAATTGATAGAATGATCTTTGGAGGCAAGTAACATCATGGAGAGTGACATTGATATATGTGTGTGTGTATATATATATATATATTATTTATTAGGCTCTGTTTGGTGCCATGCACTAATTAAGATTATTCTAATTAATTGTCAAAGAAGCATGATCCAGTAATTAGATTCCATAATGAATGGAGTAGATTAATTTTGCATTAAATATACAAAATACAAATCGAATCAAATCGTATTCAAATCCTCCAAGATTGAGCCCACGTACGTAAAGTAAACTCGATAGTTAATCAAGTTATCCATTGTCTTTATCGCTTCAAGCTTGTATAGGTAGGCAGTTCCCTAACTATGAGCTCGTATTTCGAGATTATCTTAGCAGCGTGCAAGTGTAAGTTGAATGTGGTGGACACACGACTCGACTCTCTCTAAAATAACAATTAATTATAGGGGAAATTAGAGAAACAACATATTGATACCCAAAAGGTTTCAAAAAGACAAATAGATACCTTTCTATTAGGGAATAGACTAGAATACCCTTTGAGAAATATTAGTCTATTTTTTTAATTACTTTTAGTCCCCTTAAGTTTATTAATTCCATTAAATACCCCTAGAAAAAAGTTTGAAAATT